AATTACCAAAAAAAATTGCTTGACAATTCTAAACTTCAAATTCAGCTGGGGTTTCTATGCTTCTAATTGAACCATTACCGAAATGGAAACTAACCGCACTATTTATAATAATAAAAACTTTCAATAGATGAATCAAAACAACCTTATGATAAGTGATGAAGTTTGAGTTCAATTGGAATTGGTACTTACATTTTGGTTTATCTAAAACAAAACAATTAAGTTGATTAATTCACACTCATCTATTCTCAATTTACCTGAACGATGATGTGTGTAGTTTGTAGTATTATTACAAACAAAAAAAAGGATATATTACAAAAGTTGAAGGGTTTTAGTGTAATAAACCTAAAATAAGGTTTAACCCAAAATACCAAGTAGAATCAACAAACCAGAAGTTGAACTTGAATTCGAAGTCCCCTGAGATCGGGCAAGCACTGATAGCCTCACAAACATGTACCACAAAGAGAGAGAGAGAGAGAGAGAGAGAGAGAGAGAGAGAGAGAGAAACAAATTTGCAAAGATGGGACAGAGCACTTCGAGGAAGAGAGAGAACCAGAGAGTAGCTTGAGTACGACCTAGGGAAAATCGAGGCTTAATTGTGACGTAAAGAAAATCGAAGCCCATATGAGTCGAAGTCCTGAGGAGATGAATCAAAGCCCTGAGTCGAATTGAGAATGTGAAGGCCATCGACCTTGACTTCAAGTTGGGAAACTAAGAAGAATTTGAACATTTACGACTTCAAAGAACCAGTCGAAGCCCTAAGTTGAAGGGCTGAGAATACGAAGACCAAAAGAAGAAAACGAACAGAGGAGATGGGCCGATCAGAAGGACCACAAACCAAAGAACCAGACTAGGGTTTCAAACACGGTCTGAAACCATGTAAGATTTCTGAATGAATTTGTATATTCGATTGTGTTTGTAATACAATAGTACATAGGTTTATATAACAAGGAAACAATAATTTTTATTCAATCCCCAATAGACTAGTGTCTACAGTAGCGACTCTACTAATCACTTTGACAAACATAACGCAAGTGCTTCGGGATAACAATTGTGTTCGCATGGCAGAAATGACAACTAGCGACGTGCATGGACTTTTTTTTTCTCATAGAAGTAATCCCTCACCTAAAGAACAAGGCACTTCAGTACCTCCGTGGAAAGGTTGAGACCATGGAAGAGTGATTAGTTAGTTTTTCTGGTATAATCTCTGGGATGACAATCATGTTAGTGTTGCTAGACATTTTGATGAAACGCAATAGGAAGGGTTAATCGATGAAATATTGCAACATTTTTTTTGTGAATCTTTACTACAATCTATCACAACCTTGGTTTTTTCAAGCCAAGCGTGTGGCTTTAGATGCTTGGCACCTGCCTGGTTTGCACTTAAGTAAGCCTTCTTGAAAGAGAGATAAGAGAGATTCACACACACTTGAAGATTTATAGAGAAAGAAATAATTATAGAGAGAGAAACTCTTGGAGGATGTTTGTTTTGTATTCATTTGGATGGTTTGGGCAAATGTGGCCCTCCCCTTTATATAGGCTACAAGAAACATTCTATAGATACAAGGATGTAGAGAATTCTAGATCACTCTTTTATCTTCTCAAATATCCTATTCTAGAATATACAAGAATAATGTACAAGCTTGCATAATTATGTATAAGGTTCTACCAATCTCTTGACTGTTCTAGAGAATTCTAGATTATTCTATTTAGTCTCAAATTTTATAACCATTCTCTACGGCTTTTGGTAGGATGCGACATTCTTCCATACCTAAGCCAATGACGTCCTTGTCGCATCTTCCTCGCGAAATCTTTGTATTTATTCTTGGAATTGCCACAAAGTATCTGCCGGTTCCTAACTAGCTTCATTTTCTGGTAGTCCTTTCCACTTAACCAAGTAGTCCATACAAGGAGGAACTCCTTGTCGTCGAATGACTCGATTAGCCACCATGTATTCCGTCTCCTTGTCGTAGGAGGTTATTACTGTCGTCGGTGCTCGTGATGACTTTCCTCGGCTTGGGTTTTCCAGGTCAGCATGATAAGGTTTCAGGTTGCTCACGTGAAATAGTGGATGAATTTTAAGCCTTGAAGGTAGTTGCACTTAGTAGAAAACTTTTCCCCTCTTATTTGTGATAGAGAATGGTCGTTCATATTTCCACACCAACCCTTTATGCACCTTCCTTAGAGACTTGAATTGTCGAGGCAATAGCTTGACTAGTACCAAGTCTCCAACTTAAAATTCTACCTTCTGTCTTTTCTTATCAGCCCACTTCTTCATTTTCTTAGATGCCTTGTCCAAGTATGTTCGTACCACATTAGCTTGTTCATGCCATCCTTTAGCCATCTTGAATGCAACAGGACTTTTTCCTGTATAGCCCGTCATCACCATGTGAGGCATCAATGGTTGTTGCCCAATGGCTAACTTGAATGGACCGTGGTTTGTAGATTCGCTTCGCTGTAAGTTGTAGAAGAATTGGCCCACATCCAACAACTTTACCCAATCTTGTAGGTTGGCACTAACAAAGTGTCTCAAGTAAAGCTCCAACAAGGCATTCACCCTCTCAATTTGTCTATCCGTTTGGGGGTGAAAGCTTGTGGAAAAGTGTAGATTCAATCTTGATAGTTTTAATAGCTCGATCCAAAACTGTCCAATGAAGTAAGGGTTGTGGTCACTTATTATAGTTTTAGGCTTTGTTTAATACTTCACCACATTCTTCATGAACAATTAAGCCACTTCCTCCACTGTGCAATTCGTTGGGTCCGCTATGAACGCGATTTAGATTTTACAAATTGAAAACAATTTCCAGGCAACAGTTTATCTATGTCTCTATTTCTCTTTTACTTTAACAGTATGTGATATTTCTAATTTATAAATTTTAAGATTCTGTTGGAAAACCATTTCACGTAGTTAAAGGAAAAATGGAGTTTAATATTTTAAGTCAAGTTTAATTAAATAATAAGTATAATTTCATTGGCAAGTAACTTAAGTTTATTGAAGTGGTATCTTATTGATTAATAAGTCATGTTTAATTAAAGGGTAAATTACATTGACACTTCCTGAGATTTGGTCTAATTACATCTCACCTCCTGACGTTTTGAAAATTATATTCCCATGGTTAATAGTCTTATTTCACAAACCCCCTACTTATATAAATGACAACAACTTCTAGTAAAAAAATAGTGGAAATTACATGTAAAAAAATAGAGGAAATTATATTAAAAAAATAAAAAAAGCAAAGGAAAGGAAAGGGAAAAAGAAAATAAAAAAAATAGAGGAAGTAAAACAAAGCAAGAAAAGAGAGAGTGTACGAGTTCAATATTTTCATTCCGTCTAAATAATTACAATGACCGAGGGGTTAGTACAATTTTTCAAACGTTAAGGGGTGATATGTATTAAATCCAAATCTTAGGGAGTGTAAACGTAATTTACCCTTAGTTAAATAGTAAGCAGAGTTTGATTAAGTAATAAGTGAAAACTTATTGAATAATAACTAAAGTCCAATGGATAAAAGTTTGACGATGAGTCTCATTGTGTAGTAAGTGAAATCTTATTAAATAGTCACTACAACAAAAAAGGTCTATGGTGACAAAAACACCTGACGAAAAAAATATTTCGTCTCCAAATATACATGTTTTAATGATAAAAATAAGATTTCGTCTCCAATTGTACTATTTTTGGAGATAAAAACAAAATTTCGTCACCAAATGCTTAAAATAAATAAAATAATAGGTGACGAAATTTTTTTTCGTCTCTAAATTTTATTTTTCGTCGCAAAACAAATTCCCACCCTTGAAAATTTTGGTGGAAAATTTGGGCGCCATATTAGAGACGAAAAGTTTCGTCACCATTGTAAAATTTTTTAGAGACAAATATAATTTCGTCACCTATAATTTAAGAGGACAAAACGACGTTGTTTTGTCTTCCCAAGTCACTCCTCTCTTGCTCTCTCACTCTCACTCTCACTCTCACTCTCACTCTCACCAAGTCTCGTCTCTCTCTCTGCTCACGATTCCAAACTCTAGCTCAGTGGATGTGAGTTATCTCTCTCGCTGCAGAGGAGAAGGCTCTTGAGAATGGCGAATAGGCCGAGTAGTCTTGGTCTAGTTGATCGAGAGTGCTCTCTCTGAACTAGGGTTTCCCTTCAACGTTTCTTTCCTCTCATCTCTGCAATAGTCGAACCCGAAGGTACTTACAATCTCTTGATCCCTTACTCTCACTTTTTCTCATCAACGTACCAAACCCTAATTCACCCGATTGTTCTAGAATGAAAATCATGTTCCTACGTAATGTGATTGATTTTTCTAGTTGCCATGCTAAGTTCCCAGATTTGGGGGTTTTGTGCTGACTTCATTTTGGTTAGAATTTATCGAGTTTTTAGTTTGAATCTACTGGTGATCATTGTGATTTGTTTGTTTGACGGTTTGATTTCAATTGGTGGTTCCAATTGTTGATTCCATATTCACTTACATGTTAGCAGTTTGTAAGAATTGAGTCAACTAAAGACCAAATTTTGAGCAACCAATTTGGAACAAGTATTGCTTTCATTCGAGTGTGGTTGCTTTATTTGGAGTTCTTTGGTATTGTATTAGATTCTTAAGCTGTTTAACATGCATGATACTCAATTGTTGTTGTCCACTTTAGGCTACCCTTTAGGCCATGTTTGTTTAGGTGGACATGAGCTTGGGATTGGACTAATAGTCCAATAAAATTATTAATCCAATGTTTGGTTAAACAATTGAAGGATGGACTAATTATTTTAAACTTGACTATTAGTTAAGATAGGATATATAATCCAACGGATTCGTAGTCCTAAGACTATTAGTCATGGGAATGTTAATCCAGTCCGCCCAAACAAACATGGCCTTAATGTATTAGACGCTATGCAATACTTGAATGGCAAGGATTGAATTGGGATTGATACTCAATTGTACTATTTAGTAGCATCTATTGTAATTTATTTCTAGTGCCTAGATTCTAATCTCTTGTCATTTATTTTCGGTGCCTTGAACAGGAATAATAGAAAGGAAGTTTTCTAGAGGGTCTCTAATACAAAATTAGCAAACATATAAAGTATTAAAACAATATTGTTTGAGTCATTTATCTCATTAGGGACTTCAGCAATTTCGATATCCAAACGCAACATCTTCTTGATATGTTTGAATGTTTGGCTACTTATCTATAAAAAAAAAAGTGACAATATTTTGATTTTTTCGTTTCCTTTTTTTTGTTTTGTATTTTTTTCCCCAATAAGCAACAAAAATTTATTTTGCATTTTCCCTTTTATTTTTCTGCTTTTCTTTTTGTATCTTCCTCTCCCTTTCAGTGGGTGTAGAGATATTACTTCCTTTATCCATTTTATGTCTTAGTTGGCTTTGCACAAACTTTAAGAAAACATCCTTGAATGATAGATTTAAAAAATGTCCTTCGTTTTGAATATTTTCAATTTATAGCCCAATTTTTTCTTGGGGGCTTTTGGGAGCCCTTCATCATAAAACTTTAATTACTTCTGTCATACACAGATAAAAATATCCATTTATCAAATTTGTGTTCATGATTTTTAACTCCTAATTCAATCTTTATCAAGAAATAAAGAAGACAAGAAATCTCGATGGTTGCCTTGTGTCCTTGATTTTGCATACACAATGGACTTGCGTCTTTCTCATTGGGAGTATAATGAGCGATTATAGAGGAAGTGAATAAATTTGGTAACTCATTCCATTTGTTGGAGTTTTTTTCTTTGTGACTCATTTTTTTTTAAAGTGTCTTGTACTTTTTCCATTATTTTAATTTTTTAAAATGTTCTAGTTTCAAGTGAAAAAGTTGTTACCACTTGTTAGGTTGAAATTTTTGGTTCTAAAGATGAAAACAGGAAGGTAGGTTTTTTCTGTGGATCTTCTGGAGAGATATGCAACAAAGGGGCATGGAGTTATCACATGCATGGTTGCTGGCAATGATGTTATTGTATTAGGAACTAGTGAATAAAAGTTTTACATTGATGGGTTGGTGAGTGCATAGACTTGGTGGGTTTGTTTTTCTTACATTAATGTTTTGCTTTTTGACATGAGGATTTGTTTTTGTTACATAGGATTGTCTAACTAGAAACCCTCTGTCCGATTTCAAGGTATTTCTTTTATTATGTTTACACAAATATCTTTTATATATGTAATTTTCTATCTGATAAATTTGTACCTCAGTCATCTCTCTCTTTCACTATTTCCCACCCACTAACCTCCCTTTGAATTCACTGTTTGTGAGCTAATTAGTCATATACTTGTGGACTCAATGATCATATATAAAGTGAGTTGATCACCAAGTGTTTGACAAAATTACCATGAATCAGTAATTTGTACTACAACAACAAATTATAGTTGTAAGACCAAGTTGAAAACTATAGTTGAAAATCTACTGAAGTTATACACACAGGAGAATGTACAACATGGGCAATTTTAAATTTTAGTTAATGAATAAGACCAAAAAAGCTTTGCCCAGTTCAAAAGCTCCCTATTAGATTTATTATATTCTATTTCTATTTCTTTGTTTGAATGTATGTATTTGCCCTCGTTGAATTCCAGGACTTTATGTAGATGAAAGTTGGATTAATTTTTCCTGTGTGTTATTGTTGAATACATTGCTTCAACTTACTAGGTTTATGTAGGGTGACTTATATTTTTTGGAATTTTTTTCCCCTCACCAATAAGAAAATTTGAGAATAGATTTTGTGGTTGATGGGCAGGGCACCATAAAGAGCTCTCTCTCTCTCTCTTTCTGGAAGAGTGTGAAATGCATGCATTTTGATTCATTTGATTACACTATATTTTTCTTTTCTTGCTAATTCATTTGTCTTTATTTTTTTGCCCATCTTTTCCATGATCAATAATCTATACCCAAAACTAACTGAAAATGCCACTACATTCATGAACCAATGTGAAATATATAGTCATGTAAAATAACAATCCCCATCAAATTATGAAGGAACTTTTTGATATAGATGCTGGTCTTAACTCAAATTTGTCTATTGTTGCGCATGCTTAACAGGTTCTGCCCCTGGTGAGCTCTGCTGTGGAGGAAGATCTCCCATGTGAGTCACTACATTTTAGACATGATTTTTTTTTTTTTAAATTTCAAGATGATTCTACTTGCAACTAATATCTAATAAAAATTTAATTGTTGCAATATTTTATTAGGTTTGTTTTGGTTATGGTTTATATTATTTTGTGCATTACAATTAGTAGGAAATACCAAATTGGTGGTTACTTCTGATTCCTATAAAGGTATATCATATGTATTTTTTAATTTCTGAGTGGGGCAGTTAGTTGGATCATCTGAGATCGATACAACTTGTTTTCTTCTTGTTAAAAATAATGGCAAAAGAAGAAAATATATTTTCCGCTAACAATAATTTGCTGAGGATCTCTTGGTTTGATGCTAACCTGGAATGGTCCAGCCTGTTGGGCATTCACTTTTAGGTGTCAAAAGAACCGAAGCATAAAGTATTCTTGTGCATTGGCCATTGATCTTGACTCTTGAAGTGCTAGTGGTGTATGGAAACATCACATATTATGTGTGGAAACTTCATTTTTGTTTGCTGGACCATTTTTTGGTCTGTGATCTTTTGAGGTTTGTCTATTGGTTCAGAATAGTTTTAGGATTCATTGCTATAGCAATAACCACATCAATTTTAGTTATTTGGAACTCAAATGTTCTGTATACTTCATTATTAATTGTCATCCTTTGCCTTTTCCCATAAATGTTAATTCACATTTAGCATTCAACTATTTATTTAATTTGGTTCACCTTTTGCCACACTTGTGTACAGATTCATCTAGAATTGCAAGTCTATAGGTCGTCATTTTTTATGAAGATGAGAGGCAAAAGGAAAGATGAAATGACAGTAGAACAGTCTATTGTTGGAGGTTCCCTTCATGGTGGTTCACTTCAGATGAATAGGAACACTGATCATGTTAACTCACATATTAGAGTTAATAGAAGTTCACCATTTGGTAGCAGCTACAATGAAGCTTGTAACTTGGGCTTAACAGGGTTATATAATCTTGGGAAAACTTGTTTCATGAACAATGCCATTCAGTGTTTGGTGCATAATCCAAAGCTTGTTGATTATTTTCTTGGAGACTACAGAAAGGACATAAATACTGAAAATCCCTTGGGCATGAATCTATGTCTATTTGGAATCCAACAATTAGTTATTTGTACTTTTGAAAGAGCTTGTTCTGGCATTTTGCCCTCTTGTTATGTTTTTTGTTGGCGGCCTCTTAAATGTGTCATTCTCTCTCTCTCTCTCTCTCTCAATGTGCACTTTTTGGCCAGGGTGAACTTGCTTTACAATTTGGAGATTTGTTAAGGAAGCTATGGGCTCCAAGAGCAACACCAGTAGCTCCAAGAGCGTTCAAATCGAAACTTTCTGCTTTTGCACCTCAATTTAGCGGCTATAACCAGCATGATTCCCAAGTTAGTGAACTTTCCTTGCTTTTAGAAGTGTAGTATGTATTATTGTTTCTCTATGTCTTTTGGAGGCAAAATACTTCTTATAATTTGTTGTTTTTAACGTAGGAATTTCTTACTCTTTTTTTGTATGGGCTCCATGAAGATCTCAATTGTGTGAAACAATGTTTTCAAAACCGGACCGGTGAGCGAACCGGAAAAGGGACCGGGTGGACCGGTCACCGGTTCAACCGTCGGGTCAAAGCGGTCGAACTGTGGCGTCATAATTAATATTATATAATTAAAAAATATAACTATAAATTATAAATAAATAAAAAAATATATAAATAATCAAATAAAAAAAAATTGTTGCATAGTATTTATTAATAATATTTAATAAAGTCATAATTGATAAAAAAAAAAAATCACTTATTTTAAAGAAATTAAATTTTTTAAACATTCCCTCCAAACAAATTGATTGAATGCTAGATTTAATTTTGGAGGGAAATGAAATTTTCAACCCTCCCTCCAATCAATATGTTTCAAATAATTTGATTGAATCCCACATAGAATTTTGTAGGTTTTCTTTGAAAAATCTTTTCCTATAAATAGGAATAGACTTTCATAATCTTCTCATCTCAAGCTTTCAATGAGACTCTTTCTTATAAGAGGAGATTCTTGAAATAAGAATTTTTAGTCAAAATTTTGAAATATATTTATATACATATAAGAAAGAAAGAAAGAAAATAGAAAAAAAAAAAAAAAAAAGGCCGGTTCGACCCTCCCGACTGGGTCTGGGTCACCAGTTTTCGCCAATTTTGTTCCCACTCCGGGTTTAGGGGGTTGACCGACCGGAACAAGGCCCGGTTCTTAGTCCAACCGGTCTGACCGGCCGGTCCAGTCCGGGTTTGAAAACATTGGTATGAAATACAAACCTTACATAGAAGCAAAGAAAGCAGAAGATCGGCCTGATGAAGAAGTTGCAGATGAGCACTGGCGAAATCATCTAGCTCGCAATGACTCCATCATAGTTGATGTGTGCCAGGTGAGTCTTCTATGATTTGGACTTTTCTACCACGATTGAATTCATTTTAATATGTACTTGTTTTATGATTTGAGATTGGAGCAGTATTTGGATTAGCTTTCTTTGCTTCAAACTTTGGTGTTTCGGTAGCATATGCTGTAAATTTGCTTGGTCTTTTCAACTGAGTTGGATTCTCTCTTCGTTTTTTTTTTTTTTTTTTACTATAGGGTCAATACCGTTCAAAATTGGTTTGTCCAGCTTGCAAGAAATTATCCATTACATTTGATCCATTCATGTATCTTTCGTTACCACTACCTTCAACAACAATGCGCTCAATGACTTTGACAGTCATGAGCACTGATAGGAGTACTTTGCCATTTCCAGTCATTGTAACTGTACCAATGTCATGACCTCAAACCGCCCCTAGTAGTTTGGTGCCGTGATGGCCAGTAATCCGAGATTACCGAAGGCCAGCCTACAAGATTCACACATATTCAGAGTACAATTATATGGGGCTAACAAGCACGGAAGTGATTTATACAAACAAATTAGTCCATAAGAGCTGTGCTTAAGTCAAACGAGATGGCAACCATTTGCATATGGGTTATGACTTAATTACAAACAAAGCAAAGTGCAAGTTACATTTTTCATATTAACAAAAGGGCTTCACAAGCCGACATGAACAAAATACAAGAAATACGGCTAGAAGCAAAATCTTCAGAATTGCCGATCTCCTCACTGCCGACATAACAAGTATACAAAACACGCATCTTGATCAAAAGGCTTCTCAAGCCGACGTATGCAACATACAAGTATTACAAATCGAGAAGCATAATTTTCAAGACTGCCGACGTAATTACAGGTTAGGCCGACATAATCAAAATCCAAAATAAGCTCCAGATTCACATCTAGGCGTCACCGCCTTCTTGCTCATCACCTACATATATATAGAGAGGGTGAGCTTGGATACTCAGTGAATGGTATAAATAATAAAGGGGTTTGCATGAATAATAGCTGAAATCCTTTCAAATTAATACAAGACCAACTCTATATATAACAAGGAATGGACCTCGTCCATCTAACAAATCTTCAAGTTTCAAGGGATACTTACTAGCATCACATATTACAAACAATAACATTCCGGCAAACATGTCCACGCGGTAAACCGTCCGTGGCAAAGCAAGACAAAGCAAGATAGGCATTTCAAACGAGGGTGCTACAAAAGTTTAGAGTCCTCTAGCACAAGGGACTTTCAAGACAAGATGTGCTGTGAAAGTTTAGAGTCCTCCAGCACGAGGGACCTATGTTACAAAGGCCCGTAGCCCTTTAACACTAGAGTACAAATCAAGGGTGTTGCAAAAGTTTAGAGTCCTCCAGCACGAGGGACTTCCAAAACAAGATGTGCTGCGAAAGTTTAAAGTCCTCCAGCACGAGGGACTTTCAAACGAGATGTGCTGCGAAAGTTTAGAGTCCTCCAGCACAATGGACTTTCCAAGAAGGTCATCAAAACAAACTCATACTTGATATACAAAACAGGGACAATTATTCATGCTTTACAAACACTTTCAAAGCAAGACAAAGCAAAGTCTTTATCAAAACGTATAACATAACTTTATTAAAAATACCACTCACCTAGTTCTTCAAACGTCGGGGTCAAGGCAAGTCCAAGTCCTCAAAACTCGAATCTAACGGCTCAAGCTCTAACGATCAAGCTTGGAAGTCACCCTCTCTAGCTCAAACTTCTCCTCCCTCTCACTAGAGTTTCTCTCTCTAAAAGGCAAGATTGATACAAAAAATGATATGCTACACACGACAAACACTGACTTAGTCCCTCTGTCGGGACACGTGGCATCGGCTGATTTGCTCAAGTCAAAAAGGTGACTGACTTGACAAGACAAGACCAAGACAAAGCATACTCAGCAAGCTAGGCGGCACGAACACACCGGCAAGAAATGACATCGGCTAAAATCAAGACTCCGGGAATCAAGAGGCAAGGACATCGACTTGGAAGGACAACACTTGACTAAACTGTGCCACACCCTGGCCTAGGTGTGCCACACCCTGGCCTAGGTGTGCCACACCTCGGTCTAGGTCATACCATTCCAGGAACAAAATCACTCATGCAAGGACCAAGGATCAAGAGCGCCTAAATATTAACATCTCGGCCCAGATTGTGCACATCTCAGCCTAGGCAATGCGCACCTCGGTCTAGATGGTGACACCTCAGCCAATGTGCCAGGGCAAAGACGGAGGCCAATCAACGGGGTTCTAAGATAGTTCTAAGTGACAAAGGTCTCGAAGGTGCCTAGGCTTAAGACGACCTCGGCAACACATCAGGCAAGAACAAGGTATGCAAGCAATCATTCAAGCAAAACAAGACAAGATTTGCAAATGTAAATGTTAACACAAGATCGTTCATAAATGTATGCCAGTATGGCCAAGTCAAAATGAGGGTTGCTACAACCAAAGTATGGACGATGTAAGGATCTAGTGCAGGCCTTAAGCACCACATGTTCTTTGAGAGATGATGAAAAACTGTTGGTAACTGAGGTATGGTTTTTAGCAATGTGGTCAATAATTAATATTTAATGTAAGTGTGAACTCTTATTCTTTCTCTACATTTGCGCAACAAACAACTTGCATCAAGGTCTCACTAAAAATGATGGGGTTTCAAGCACTATATTGTCATGTCACACTTGCATGATGGTGTGACGTGTTGGACTTCAAGCACTGTAATTGGTCATGTAGCACTTGGCTAGTTATGTTCTCTGAAATGTAATGCCTGCATTTTCTTTCATTTTATTTTTCAATTTTTCAGTGGACAATAGAAAGATGATGTGTTGCATTTTTTTTATGGTTGCTCAATGTAGATCTATGTGCTGAAAGATTAAGCATTTGAGCCTTAAAATTGAACCAACCATGGATATAGACATGGGACACAACCATGCATACACAACAACTAACTAAAGTGCCACATGTTCATTGAGAGAAGGTTTGAGAGAAGGCCCGAGACAGCCAAAATCGTAAACACTTAGGCTTGACTTGCCAGATGTTCATTGAATATATGCTTTTCCTTATTACTAGAAACTGAAATTTTAAGAGAGGTCCACCTGAGCTTTGGTGGTAGGTTTCTTAGGAAATAGGTTACCTCAATCTTAATATTTTGAGTTAAGGTAACAGCCACAAGAAGGCTTAGGGAACACCTTAAACACCTCGGGAGGGACCAATGTAAGTTTTGGAAACTTACGAAATTAGCACGGGACTCCCGGTTTGAAAACTAAGTCGAAAAAAACATTTTTTCAACACTTAAGCTTAAAAATAGGCCATCGGGGGCCACAATCGTGTAACTGCCACGAAAAGGCCCAGAGAACACCCTGAACACCTTGGGAGGGGCCAATGTAAGTTGTGGAAACTTACAGAACAAGCACGGGACTCCCGGTTTGAAAACTAAGTCAAAAAATGTACTTTTTTCACATATAAGCTTGAAAATAGGCGTTCGGGGCCCAAAATCGTGTAACAGTCACGAGACGGCCCGGGGAACACCTCAAACACCTCGGGAGGGACCAATGTAAGTTATTAAAACTTACAGAACTAGTATGGGACTTCCGGTTTGAAAACTAAGTCGAAAAAGGCACTTTTTTCACACTTAAGCTTGAAAATAGGCCATCGGGGCCCAAAATCGTGCAATAGCCACGAGATAGCCTGGAAAACATTTCAAACACCTCGGGAGGGACCAATGTAAATTGTAGAAACTTACGGAACTAGCACGGGACTCCTGATTTGAAAACTAAGTCGAAAAATACACTTTTTTCACACATAAGCTTGAAAATAAGCCTTCGGGGGCCAAAATCGTGTAATAGCCACGAGACGGCCCGGGGAACACCTCAAACACTTTGGGAGGGACCAATGTGAGTTGTGGAAACTTATGGAATTAGCACGAGACTCCCGATCTAAAAACTAAGTCTAAAAATGCACTTTTTCCAACTCTTATGCTTGAAAATAGGCCATCGACGGGCCAAAATTGTTAAACAACCCCGAGAAGGCCCGAGGAACACCTCAATCACCTCAGAAGCAACCATTGTAACTTGTGTAAACTTACGGAACTAGCATGAGACTCCCGTTTTGAAAACTAAGTCCAAAAATGAATTTTTCCAACACTTAAGCTTGTAAATAAGCCATCGGGGGCCAAAATCATGTAATAGGTACGAGAAGGCCCGGGGAACACCTCAAACACCTCGGGAGCGACCAATGTAAGTTGTGGAAACTTACGCAACTAGCACCGGACTCCCGATTTGAAAACTAAGTCGAAAAATGCATGTTAAATTGTATAGTTAATTGATAAGATAATAATTGTCTAACTTGCATTTTTTTTTTCTTGTTCCATTTTTTTGCAGATTCGAGATTTGATATGGACATGTTTGGTAATTTGGAGAGCAGAAGCTAGCTCATTTTGTGTTTTTGTTCATATCACCTTACATGTATTTTGGTTGCGTTGTAAATTTTATATTTTTGTTGGTACTACAGGACATGTTTGGTAATCCACACTTGATATTTTATTTTTGTTGATAGTAGTAGACATGTTTTTTGTGGATATTAGGAGACGTGTTTGGTAATCCGCATGTGGTTGATATTATATTTTTGTGGATCTTAGTAGATATGTTTTTTGTGGATATTAGGAGACATGTTTATAATTCACATGCAGTCCATATTGTATTTTTGTGGATAGTGCTGAAATTCGATTGTGATGTTTATGAAAATGAACAAATTTTTGTATTGATTTGTAATAGATATTTTATTGAACAGGTTATTGAAATGAGCAGGGAATTTTTAGTGAAAAGAAAAATTGAAAATTGAAAATATTACCCTCATTTTTAAAATTTTTAATTGTTATTAGCGACGAAATAAAAAAACCATCGCTATTAGTTTTCAAACAACATGACGAATAATTTTGTCACTAATGATATAGTACCAAACAAATAATTTTGTCACATTTGCTAAATATTTCGTCGCTAAATTGAAATATTTGGTAACAAAATATTTTTTGTCATTGAAGAATTTTCTTTTCTGATCATTTTAGTGACAAATTTTTTTGTCACCTTAATCTATATCATTGGTGAGGAAAACTTTCATCACTAAAATCTATTTGGTGACGAAATATTTCATCGCCAAAAATAATTAAAATAAAATATTATTTAGTTTTGGTGATGAAATTGATGTTATAGAGGACGAAAAATGCAACATTTGGAGACGAAACTGTTTTTCGTCACCAGGTACTTTCAGCGACAACGTATAGGCGACAAACGTGGTGACAAATTTTTTTCGTCACAGATCACTTTAGTGACGAAAATTTGATGTTTGGAGACAAAATCAATCTGTCACCAAAAACTTTTTTTGTTGTAGTGAGTAAATAGAGTTTAATTGAGTAGTAAGTGAAATCCAATGAAGTAGTAAGTACTAGTCTTATTGAGTAGTAAGTCAAGTTTAATGGAATAGTAAGTAGAGTATTAACGAATAGTAAGTAGAGTCTCATTAAGTAATAAATGAGATTTAATTTAGTAGTAATCAAAATCTAATCTAATAGTAAGTAGAGTCTTATTAAATCGTGAGTTGAAATTTAGTTGAGTAGTTTGTCAAGTCTAATAATTAAATAGTAAGTGAGATTTATTTGAATATAAATAAAGTCAAATGAAATGGTAAGTTTTCTTCTTCTTCTTCTTTTACTTTTTTTTTTTTTTGAGTACTAAGTTAAGTATAATAAATTTTTATATTTTGTTTAAAATTCATATTTCTTGTTTAATAATTTAAAATTTTTATTTCTAT